GTCAGCTGTGAATAAATAACTTCGCTTGCTCTTTTGCGCGTGGTCTTCCTTTATTTCCGCACTTGTTAGGTACAAAGCCCCAGTTCCACAGTAACATTGGAGGAGGAATCAGCTGTGTGCGGCGGGGCGGGGTGGGGGTTGGGGGGGTTGGGGGGGAGGAGCGAGCAAGCCTAAGATAAGAAGGAAGAGCAGGAAACACATCTGTGTTAGAGGGACAGGTGTGGCAATGTGCAAATCCCAGTCCCTCTTTCTCCCACCTGACTAGCTGGACCACATTTCCCAGCTTGCCTTGCAGTTAGGTGTGGCCACAGGCCCAAGTTCTGCCCATAGAATATGGAAGTAATGTACCCAGCTCCCAGGCCTGGCTCCTGGAAACCTCCCTTGCAATTCTCTGCTCTCTTGCCTGATACAGAGTCTGGTGGAGGCTCCAAGGCCCCCACGATGGTGGGGCCACTAGATGGAGGGAGGCTGGGGGCCTGAGGGCCTGAGTGGCTCAGGACCCTGACAACCCACCTTACACTGCATGATGTGAGTGGGGAACATGCTGTGTTATGCTGTGGAGATCTTTTTATTTATTTTATTTTTTAGTTAATTCATTAATTATTTTTAGGAAAGGAGAGGGAGAGAAACATCATGCTGATGAGAATCATTGATTGGCAGCCTCCTGCACGCCCCCTACTGGGGGTGGAGCCCACAATCCAGGCATGTGCCCTGACCCGGAATTGAACTGTGACCTCCTGGTTCATAGGTTGATGCTCAACCACAAAGCCACGCTGACCAGGCAAGCCACAGAGATCTTAAAGTGTTCCTTTGCAGCAGTTAGCTTGTGTGTGTGTGTGTGTGTGTGTGTGTGTGTGTATACATATGTGTGAACCATATTGAACATTTAGGGAAAGATTGAATATACAATTTATGGAACAAATATTAAGCTCCAGACTTTATTTTCTCAGACTGTTTTCACAACAGTATTTATAATCTGAGGAGATTTGATTCTTCTCTTCAGCTCTGCCACTGACTCTCTGTACTGACTAACTCATACAATAAGGGGGAGAAGCCAAATTTTTTTTAAAAGCAAAGAATACCTAAACTAATGTTTTGTCTTTTAAATTCTCTTCATCTTTAGCTTCAATATGACAAAAGTTCTTTAAAACCAGAATAGCTTTACAAGACAAGAATCCCCACTTTTGGCACTTTCATTCCACATAGTGTTGAAAGTTCTAGCCTGAGCATTTAAGCAAGGTAAAGAGATAACATTCAGATGATATGAATTTGTAGGTAGAAAGCCATAAAGATTCCACACACACACACAAACACACAAAAACACCAAAAAACTGTTTTAACTAATAAATGAATTTAACAAAGTGGCAAGGTACAAATTGGACACATAAAAATCAGTTGAATTTTTGTAGACTAATAATGAATAATTAGAAAAGAAAATTAAGAAAACAGTTATATTTACAATACCATCAAAAGGAATAAAAAACGTAGGAACTAACTTAACCAAGGAAGTGAAAGACTTGTACAATGAAAACTACAAAACATTGCTTCAAGAAATTAAAATAGGTATAAATGAGTGGAAAGACATCCTGTGTTTATGGAATGGAAGACTTAATATTGTTAAAATGCAAATACTATCCAAAATGATCTGTGGATTTAATGCAATGCCTATAAAATCCCAATGACATTTTCTGCAGAGATAAAAAATAACCCATCCTAAAATTCATATGGAACCCTAAGGGACTACAAATAACCAAAATAATGCTGAGAACGACGAACAAAGCTGAAAGGCTCACACTCCTTCATTTCAAAACATACTGCAAAGCTACAGTTATCAAAGCTGTGGTGCTGGCATACAGACAGACATATAGACTGATGGAATGGAACAGAGAGCCCAGAAATAAGCCTTCGCACATATGGTCAGATTCTTTTTGACAAGGTGCCAGGACAGTTTTTTTCAACCACTGGGGCTGGGCAAACTGAACATCCACATGCACAAGAATGAAATTGGACTGTTATCTACAACAATTGGCTCAAAAAGTATCAGAGAACTAAACATAAGAGCAGGCGGAAGAGCTTCAGTAGTGAGGGCTGCTCTGTGAACATAGAAATAAAGAAAAAAGGAGGTCTTTGCTGGAGGGAAGAATTGCTGGCATTTCTTAGCACAAGCTCCTGGGACAGGAAGTTTGTAGAAATGGTTTCACTTAACCCTCCTAAAATTCCTATGAGGTGGGGATCGCTTAACTGGAAGAAGAAATTAAATAGCCACAGTCCTCCAACCTAGAGATGACCACTGTGTGAAGCTCTATAACTTTTCTTTAAAAATTTTTTATTATTAAATTTCCCTTTAAGATTTAACATGTAACAGAAGTAATCCCAATAAATTCAATAAAAAAGTAAAAAAATAACACGTAGCAACGGGAGCTTGTTGTAACTAGGGAAACAATATAATTAATAATAGTATCTATCATTCAGGTCCGTCTCTCCCAGGGGGAGCTGGGAAATGTGATCACAGCAGGCGGCATGACCCAATTCATCTGAAAGTGACCAGCTAAGGGACATCATCCCCAATAAGCAAAGTCCGATTCCAGCCATGGCCTCAGGTGATCTCCATCCTTCCTTTGTGCAATGAGATAGCATTTATTGAGCGGCTACTATGTGCCAGGTGCCATGCAAGATTCTGGAAATACGGAAGAAGAATATAATACTGACTTTTCCTCTGGGGGGGGGGGTCTCCTAATCTGATGGGTGGGGAGAGACAAGTGAACAAGGAGTGACAGCAGTAGATAAGAAAGTTGTAACTGGAGGCAATGGGGCCAGGGACTGGAGAGACATCTGTTCACGCAGGTGCAGGTGACAGCTCTAAGCAAGTGTAGACTTCAGATCTAAACTCTGGGGCAGTTCAGCGAAGATGGACACACAGCAACGGGAAAGGCGGGCCCCGAACCAGAAGCCACTCCCTGCGCCACATCCCCTTCCAATGAATGCACAGAAGATAAAACTCCCAAGTATTATTACCCTCCCATCTATCTGCCCCCTTTAAGAGGAGAATTTATAGAGAGCGCGCCGCGCCTGGGTGAGCCGGTAAATCTTCTCCTTAAGGAATTTCCTCTTGAGGGCGGTCTCGTTCTGCTCCTGAAGCAGCCAGGAATACTGATCCTTTTCCTGGAGTATCTGCATCATGGCTTTCTGCAAGTAATCGCCGTTCTCTTGGAGCATAAAATACTGAATTATGAATGGGATCTGGTTGGCGAGCCGCTTGCTGGTCTCCTGGAAGAGGGGATAGGAAGGGTCAGCTGGAGGGGTCTGGCCCCAAGGCCTGTGGTTGCAGAGAGAAGCCTCGGGGTTCAGGATGCACACATGGTCGCCTTGCTAAGTCCTGGTGGTCCCGTCCACGCCACTCCAGTGTTCAGTATCAAACCATGAGGAGCTTCTGTCTGAGAGGCCCAGTTTTCCCACCTACGCATTCCCTTCGCACTAAGAACCCACCGGGTAGACCAGCAAACCCGAGGCACCTCGTGGGCATCCCAGCCTTCCCAGGAGCCCCTCCCCCGGCCCCGCTCCACCTCTCAGCAGAGACCTCCTGGCCCTGATCTGGGGACAGATCAGGACCTGCCTCAGTCCTCGCCTCGCGCCCTCTCCCCACAGGCATGGCCGGCTTGCCTGGCAGCTGGACTCCACATCTGGGTAACTCAACTTTTTATTCTGATTATGAAAAGGCTTCAGTAGTTGGGTTTCTTTGCAGTTTACCTTCCATTCTGTGTGCCCTCGTACTTTAGGCTGGTGATTTCAACCTTTCTCATCGCATGGCACACATAAACTAATTACTAAAATTCTGCAGCACACCAAAAAATACATTACATTTCCTGCCGATCTGACCAAAAAATAGGTGTAATTTTGATTCATTCACACAGGACAGCTATGTTGTGTTGGCTGTTGTCATTTTTTTTTAAATTGACTGTCTAAATAGTCAGGTATTGCATGTTTTAAAAATTCTTGTGCCACACCGGGCCAGCATGGCTCAGTGGTTGAGCATTGACCTATGAACCAGGAGGTTGAAGTTTGATTCCTGGTCAGGGCACATGCCCGAGTTGTGGGCTCGATCCCCAGTGCAGGAGGTACTGGTCAATGATTCTCTCTCATCACTGATATATATATATATATATATATATATATATATATATATATATATATATATATATATTTCAGAGAGGATGGGAGAGGGAGAGAGAGATAGCAACATCAATGATGAGAGAGACTCATTGATCAGCTGCCTCCTGCACGCCCCCCACTAGGGATCGAGCCCACAACCTGGGCATGTGCCATGTGCCCTTGACCGAAATCGAACCCGGGACGCTTCAGTCCGCAGGCCGATGCTCTATCCACTGAGCCAACCTGGCTAGGGCCTCACTGATGTTTCTTTCCTCCCTCTCCCTTCCTCTCTCTGAAATCAATAAAAATACATTTTAAAATATTTTTGTGGCACACCAGTTGAAAATTGCTGCTTTAGTCCATGAGTGGGGTTGGGGGCAGGGGGCGGGCGGTTAGAAACCTGAAGCTGATTGGGCCCCATAATCTCGGGAAAGGAATCTCATTCCTGTTTTGTGAACCTGGTGGGTGTCAAGCACGTCAGGAGCTGAACGCCTTCTAAACATCAAGGAGAGCTAAGCATGACCAGCAAGGCGAGTTGTATTTTGCTGTCCTCTGAGAAACGCATGTCCTGCGCAGCATAGACTACAAAGAACTTCGGGGTTGGAGTTACTTTTGAGTACATCCTGTGCCACATGAAGAACCTGATTTGGGGCAAATTTACTAGAAGTGTCTGATAGGGTTCCCGTAAGATGATAGAGAATAGATGAGTCGTTTCAGAGCAGAAAGGGCTCCTCCCTTCTTCGCCCAGGTAAGCACCTCGCAATCAGCGTGCCCCCGCACGGGCCACGTGCACCCACACTCACCAAGAAGTATGCGTTCAGGTGCATCCCGATCTCAGTGATGGAGGAAACAGAAGATGAGTTATTGGAAGCAGACAGTTTCAGGGAAGGAGCCTGTGACATGCTTCCGTCCGTGTTAAAAGCCTGCTCCCGAATTCTTTGCAGAATCTCGCTGTAAATCTGGTCTTGACAGTAAACGAGCTGCTCCATCCTGAACTGCAGGTGGATCATATTCATTGCTGTCTCTGCTTGCTTTGTTTTGATGTCTTCAATCTTGTTCTGGTTGGAGAAGAAAGAGAAGCCGTCACTGCTGTTTGGGTCCCCCCTCCTTGTTTAAACAACTCAGGAAGTGCTGTGATGTTGAACACAGAATTAGAAATGATTTAAGGTTATTCGGTGATTGAGCGTTGACCCAAGAACCAGGAGCTCATGGTTCAATTCCCTGTCGCCCAGGTTGAGAGCTCGATCCCCAGTAGGGAGTGTGCGGGAGGCAGCTGATCAATGATTCTCTCTCATCATTGGTGTTTCTATTGCTCTCTCCCTCTCCTTTCCTCTCTCTGAATCAATAAAAACATATTTAAAAAATAATTTAAGGTCAAAGGAGGCCTGATGCTTTAAATCAGGGGTCCTCAAACTACGGCCAGCGGGCCACATGCAAATACAAATATTGTATTTGTTCCCGTTTTGTTTTTTTTTACTTCAAAATAAGATATGTGCAGTGTGCATAGGAATTTGTTCATAGTTTTTTTTTAAACTATAGTCCGGCCCTCCAACGGTCTGAGGGACAGTGAACTGGCCCCCTGTTTAAAAAGTTTGAGGACCCCTGCTTTAAATGGTGACTCTCCGAAGGTCCCTCCTCCGTCTTTTGCTGCTGTCCTCACTGATCCGGGTGTGTTCCTCCCCCGCTTGCCCGAGCCAGTCCCACCTATCGCCACCCACTCTTTCTCTGCGCCCGGACCTTCATTTTCTCGCATCACCCATTTCTGCTTCCTTGACTGTGGCTCAGTTTACACTTTCATGTCCATCACTCTTGTATCTCTAGTTGGCTTGAGTCCAAGCTTTCAAGGATGACCCCAGTGCCGATGAGCACATTGGGGTAAGAGCTTGATATCTTTGTTTGCCAGAAAGCCTGTGACTCCTGCCTCACCCACACAGTCAAAGGCATTCTGGGAAAGGGATGGATGACAGTGGAGAAAAGTCACTTCTTGGCTTTTGAGTTTGAGACTGTTGTGCACTGAAGGCAGAGGTGGACCTCAGAGAGGGGGGAGAGAGAGAGAGAGAGAGAGAGAGAGAGAGAGAGCAGGTGGGTTTCACAGGGACTTTGTTTTTCTTTCTATGGAGTGTATTTGGCAAACAAGAATATATGCTTTATACCCCCCTGCAGATTTCGGGCCTGAACATGGAAATGGCCCGTGTATCACTTCCAAGAGGCATGACATGGGAGGTGACAAGGCCCCTGGCTCTGACGAGGCTCCGGAGGAGCAGGAACAATGGTGGAGGGTGTGTCTGGGATGGTGGCCGGGACAGCCCTGCACGGCACAGACAGCTACGGTGAGACTTCTGAGCTCTCAGAGGATGGCGCCAGGGGGTGAAGCCCTGGTGGGCGCTGGAGGTCCCTGGGCCCCAGGGTGGCCTGAGGGTGCAGCAGAGCTCTGGTGCCCAGGCTGGCCTGGAAGAGCTTAGGAGAACCAGCCCTGCACTTGGGAGCACAGGGGACCCGGGGCCAAGTGCCAAGGCCTGGGAAGCAGGGCGCACATCCGGGAAGCTGCCGGCAGGGAGACGTGACTGCCAAGGACCAGGCATGTCAAGGCCCTGCGGTGAGGCGCCCGGGGCTCGGACAGCCCCTGGGGAAGTTGGAGGGCTCATGAGATTTAATTTTCACCGACCGGGTGAAGAGGGGAAAGAGAAATTAGGTTGTACCCCAGGGAGAAGGACAGAATCCTTGCCTTGCCCACCTGAATGAGAGTGAGGAATGAGATTCTGCCACAGCCAAGGCCGAGGCCGGGGCAGAGTTTTATCTAGAGCCACTCTCTTCCCTGCACTGTGACTGGGATTCAGGCAGAGTGGCTAAGTTGCTAAGTGGAAACCCACACAGTGGTGGCAATATTTTAAGTCAAACTAATAAAAATGTTGGACAAGGACTAGTAGACAATGCTGTCCTTCAGAAAAAAGGCCCCAAATACCCGCCAGTCACTAGGGACAGTCATACATTCTGCTACACCCTGCCAGGCTGCAGGGGACCGAGAGAACAAGGTCAGTGCTGTTTCACTTCTCCCAGGAAGGGTCCCCCAGCTCCCGGGCAGAAGCAAAACAGCGCTGCTGCTCGCGTCGCCCGCCCAGCCCGCCCACAATGCTATCCCCAGCCTCACACGCCTAACTGGCAGTACACACCCGCCTTCTTTCGAAAGCTAGACCCTCATAAATCCGCACAGGTGCCCAGCAGGCGAACTGGGGGTACTCACCCGGGCTGTTTGGTTAAGGTTGGAAAATTCGCCAAAATGTGTTTTGGCCGTGTCAATGAACGTTTGCCGGACGGTTTCTGACCAAAGGAAAAACCAAACATCAGTGAAGTGCAAGCAGGAATCAAACGGCTCACTGGCCCAGGGCGGAGAAATCATGGCACGTGCCCCTATTCAGATCTACAGGCCGTGAGAAGGAAGGGATGGTACCTAGTCCCGGGGAGACACAAAATCCATGGTCACCACCCCCCTGAGCAGGGGCCCTCAATTTCCTGTCTTTTCGGGGCGTGCGTGATCCTCCCGGGTGCGCACCCATCTCTTCCTCACACAGCTGCGGGGAGGGGTGGGTCTGACTAGGTGAAGCCCACTGCACTGGTGCCCTGCTCCCCGAAACGGGCAAAGGAGATCTGCAGGCTGTGACTGATCATCCCATCCCCGTCTCTCTCTCCCTCAGGCGCGGAGACCGTGGGCGGTGCTGGGGCGGTCCTCACCCACAGTCTTCTGCAGCATGCTCAGGGCGGGCTCCACCAGCTGCTGGATGTACTGCTGCACGATGGTCTCGAACGTCTTGTAGTTGACAAACCCAAGAAGCTCTTTGCCCCGGTACTGGTTTTCATATTTTGAGACTTCTTCGTGGATAATATTTTTAACTGCAATGTGAAACAAACCACAGGCATTTTAAAGATAAAAGCATTTTTAAAAGGCTTGCTCATCTACTGTACGTACCCTAAGGCAATGCTTCTAAATGGAGTCCTTTTCTCTTTTATTTATTTATTTATTTATTTATTTTCACTTTTTTTTTTATTGTTCGCTAAAAGTATTACAAAGGGTATTACATAAGTGTCCTTTTTTCCCCCCCGCCCTTGACAAACCCCTGCCCTCCCTTACCCCCCAGTGTCTTATGTCCATTAGTTATGCTTATATGGATGCATACAAGTCCTTCGGTTGATCTCTTACTCCCCTCCCTCCTGTCCCCCAACCCTCCCTGGCCTTCCCACTGCAGTTTGACAATCAGTTTGAGGCAGCTCTGCCTCTGTATCTATTATTGTTCAAAAGTTTGTAATGGTCTTTATTATCCATGAATGAGTGAGATCATGTGGTATTTTTCCTTCATTGACTGGCTTGTTTCACTTAGCATAATGCTCTCCAGTTCCATCCATGCTGTTGCAAATGGTAAGAGTTCCTTATTTTTTACAGCAGCATAGTATTCCATCGTGTAGATGTACCACAGTTTTCTAATCCATTCATCTACTGATGGGCACTTAGGCTGTTTCCAGATCTTAGCTATGGTGAATTGTGCTGCTATGAACATCTGGGTGCATATATCCTTTCTGATTGGTGTTTCTGGTTTCTTGGGATATATTCCTAGAAGTGGGATCACAGGGTCAAATGGGAGTTCCATTTCCAATTTTTTGAGGAAACTCCATACTGTCTTCCATAGTGGCTGCACCAGTCTGCATTCCCACCATGGAGTCCTTTTCATAATGAAAAAAAAAAAATACAAGGTCTGACAGTGACTTTTCAGGAACAAAATCTGACTTTAAAAAAATGTATTTCAACTGAGAGTCATCACCCTGAGAGAGAAGCTGAGTGTGTATAGTTGATAGAAAGGAAGCGGATGAGTTCAATGAAAATAAAAAGTTAGATGTTGTTTCACTTACAAGTCTCTCAAAAATTCAGCTAAACAAGGGTTGGAGGAGGAGTTCTACCATGGAACTGAGTAGTGCTGGTTTTTGTTTTTGTTTTTGTTTTGAAAGAGGCAGATGTTTAAAAAAATATTTTTATTGCTTTCAGAGAGGAAGGGAGAGGGAGATAGGAACATCAATGATGAGAGAGAATCATTGATCGGCTGCCTCCTGCATGCCACCCACTGGGGATAGAGCCCACATCCCGGGCATGTGCCCTGACCAGGAATTGAACCATGACCTCCTGGTTCATAGGTCGACACTCAACCACTGAGCCACGCCGGCTAGGCAATAGTGCTGTTTTTATCAAGTGCCAAAATGGACAAAGATGCAACACACACACACACACACACACACACACGCAGCCTACTTCCATCATGGCTGCAGCAGAATGGAAGTTGGAAGCATGCCAGACAGAGCCAGGAGACTCTTATCAAAGCCTTCACCTCTGGTTTCGGCTTAGGGGTTACTGGCAGGGAGAAATGGGGGAAGTGGGATTGTCTAGCCGCACAACAAAGATGAGAGAGAAGAAAGTCCGGGATGTGGAGCTGCTTTCTGCGGAGTGGGTGAGGGCAGGCTCCCGCGGCGGTCATGCGTGACCGCACCCCGCAGGCCAGGGTCTCGGTGTGGGCAGTCAGCTCCCCACACTTTCTGTGCCGGGAGTACCTCTGTGGTAAATAAGACACTGCTGGTGGGGCAGCCCTGTCCCAAGACTCACCTTTTTGGGAATTGGCTGCAAGTACGAGGACCCAGTTTTTAAACTCCTCCCTGAGTTTGTTGTATAAGCGGGTCTCTTTTTCCTTCACGACTTCTTCTCCATCTACTAACCTTTCAATGTTCCGATTAAACACTTTAATTTTCTGAAAAAGAGGTAACGTCATTCAACTGTGCTGTGGTTGAGAAGCCGGGCCAGGGCACAGGGTGGCATGGGGGCTGGCAGTACCTCACCCACACACCCCTCCCCTCCCAGGTGACACTGGAGGGAGGACAGGGCTCCCGCAGGACCCAGGCAGGGAGGCACAGAGGCCACCTGGAGAGGCGCTGGGCCACCTGGAAGGCTGGGGCCACCGCAGGGAGCGGCCAGATTCTGGGCCCGAGTGTCACGTGGAGCCCCCCAAGTCCTCACCTCGACCAGAAAGAACATTTTGTCGGCGTCGGTGTTGGGGATGTGCTCCCCCGCACTGGCGCAGCTCCTCCACAGCGCTCAGGTGGCTCTCCCTGATCTGATTTTCTAGCAGCGGGAGTGATTTCTGAACAAAATAATAGCAAACAGTGAAACACTGCAGCTTGACATGAGCTGACAGGTCTCCTGGGCACAGGAGCAGAATCCCGCTGGGAGGCCAAGGGGGGAGTGTCTGTCCCTGTGTGAGGCGCTGAGGCGAAGGCCCGCTAAGGAGCCGAGGAGGCTCTGCAGGCAGCCAGGGCGCAGCCCGAGGCCTGCGGAACCCGTGGTTCTGTTATCCAGTGAGGAACACTGGTTTTTGTTTGGTTTAGATAAGTGTCTTGTATCTCCAGATCAATTACACCTGAACACAGCGTCAGCTTTCTCTAGTAAAACACTGCCGTGGTGAGCATTTGAAGGCCATAAACCGATAAAGGGCACTTTGCTGGAAGGTATGTCATGGGGGTTGGTGTCAGGCTGGGTATAGTCCTAACCAATCACGATGCAGATGATGAGAACCAGGCGAGGAGAACAGGGGCCCTAGAGCGCACCATGAGGTCTGCTTTGGCCCACGCACTGTGTCTCAGTGACGCCCTCGGTGCAGGAAAGCACCAGCTTCGTTGCCTTTTCCAGGACAGGAACCTGAGGCCCAGAGAGGCCAATAGCTTGAGGTTATGCTGAGCTAGTAAGTGGCAGAGTTCCAGTCTGCACCCTGCTCACCACCCCCAAAGCGCACGCAGGCGGACACTGCAGGTAAAGACGCCTGAGTGAGCCGCGCCCCAATTCTGCTTCGGTGCCTGAGGTCACTGCAGCCAGCCCAGCAGGAGGCGTTCATTGGGACTAAGAGGCAGTTTGTCAAGGCTACACAAAATGGCGATAAAGGTGGGGGACACCAAGAAGTTAATAAGGTCTCATGGGCTCTTTAAAACAAAACAAACA